ACAACGAGCGCAAATCTTTTTCTGAAATAAAAATGCCTTTTTCCGAATGAAGTCCTCACTCAAATGAACTGAGATTCTTTCTACAAATACCAATTGGCCACGTGGATACATGTGATTGCAATGACCACTCACCCTCAAGGAGAAGGGGAGAGGGCCCAATGATATTGTTAATGAAATATATCCAAAAACACAGCCTTCATGAAGCCTGCTATTTGATTGTTTGTTTTTATTTTTAAGACAGGGTTTCTCTGTAGTTTTGGAGCCTGCCTGGAGCTCACTCTATAGAACAGGCAGTCTTTAAACTTTCAGAGATTGGCCTCTCTGTCTTCTGAGTGGTGGGACTAAATGTGTGTGCCATCACCGCCCAGATGTGATAGAACTTTTATGTTTAAGAGACTGAGTTGGGCTTTTAGAAGAGGGTGCTCTGAGAATAAGCTGTCTGAAATTGTGATTAAGAAAGAATTCCAAGTAGGGACAATAACAGAGTCAACAGCTAATGAAGTAGGAGGGAGCACTAAATTGATGAGAGGAGCCAAGCCTTAGGCTGAGTCCTGTGAGCACCTCTGACCAGCTACAAGGGAGTCTGAGGCCAAAAAATCAAGGGTGGAAGGCGAACCTGTTCTACAGAGCAATTTCAAGAAATGGAATGGAAAGAAACAGAGCTTACAAGGATGGAAACTGGGAAATACATTAAAGTGAGGGCAAAGGGCTGGGAGGTGGGGCTAGGTGCTCAACTAGGTGCTCACAATATAAATAATTAATAATAGAATGTCGAACATATACTTAGAATACTAAATTTTTATTTTTAGTGCTTCAAATTTTTTTCTGATGTTTTGGAGCTTGATCTAGAGCTAGCTATTGTAGACCAGGCTGGCCTCAAACTCACAGAGATCCACCTGCCTCTGCCTGTCAGGTGCTAGGATTAAAAGTATGTGCCATCATTGACAGCTTAATATTGTTTTCAATATTTAATGCTCTCAATGATACCTCTGCTTTCATTCTTCTGATTGTTGTTTAAGAATGGTCTTTCTATGGAGTCATGGAAATCAATATATAGTTCAGGCCTATCTCAAATCTCCAGAAATATCCTTGTCTCTAAGAGAATTAATGGGGTGTACAACTTCAGCCAGCCTCCTCCCTCTCTCTCTCTCCCTCTTTCTCTCTCTGTTATTGTTTATTTGTTGAGACATGTTTCTCTGTGTAGCCATGGCTGTCCTGAAAGTGTGTGATACAAGGCCAACCTCAAACTCACAGAGATTCGCCTGCCTCTGCCTCTTTAGAAGTGAGATTAAAAGCATTAGGTGCCAATGCTAACTTTCAGACTTTTTCCTGAGGGGGAGGGTTAAATTTATTTATCTCTCCAGCTCTCTTTATCTTCCCTTTACTATGCCTTATCCTTTTTTCTTTTTACAGGGACTCATTCACCTGAGACTGACCTCTAGGCTGGAATTGCTGCTTCTCCCTCCCT